TTTCCACATCAGTGGTAGACAGGACCATGTAGTCACTTTATCTTCAGCATTTCAACAGTAGTTTGTACTGGGTCCCAAATGGCATGAGCCATGGTGCCCAGGTCCGTGTGTAATAGTTCTGCCTGTGCTGCTGTGGGAAAGGACGCCAAGGACCACCGTCAAAGAGCTGGGGATTTCTCTCTAAGGCATCAATCTATTTTATGCTTCAGGGAGCAGTTGATTCGCTGGGACAGAAACAGCTTCCTTCAGTTGGCACATGTATTCCACCGCCGTGGCTCCGTTGTCTTGGGAATATTTGGTGAAAGTCAGACTATTTTAATAGGATAGACAGAAGGAAAATGACAAGTCACACTAATCAGTATGCCACATCACAGATAAAATCCTTTCTTCAGCCAGGGCCGCTGTTGTTTATGTCTTCTGACTTTTAAACTTAGCAGAATTAAGAAATAATCCAAAATGAGCAGACCCTAAATCTGATAGTATAAACATATATCACAATATTTTGTATTAGTACATTTTCTTTCACTTAAATGCTCAGATATTAACAAGGAAAAGTATTACTTCAAAAGAAAATAAAAGGAAATAGAATTTGTGAAAACAAAGTCACTGAACATCATTTTTCTAAATAACTGACTCTATTTCTCTTTTAAATTATTGTTTATATGTGGGTATACATAAGACGACCCATATATGCATAAGATACCCATATATCATATTTCATTCCTGAACGAATCATCGTTATCCAAGAGTGTAGGTCTAGAAAGTACATTTTAGGTTGATCGCAACTAGACCTATAATTAGGTTTAGTTTGTTTGGTTTTGCAGTCTTTTGTGTAACCGTTGTATTTGTTTAGTAATTCTTTGGTGTGTTATATCCCCCGTGCCCAGGAAGCACTCTCATTTCCTGTCAGAATTAGGCTTCCTGCATATGCTGCCATGATGCCTTGTCTTCTATTTATCTGATTTCTGCGTTTCTCCTTTAAACCTATGCTGCAATAGTGACAGGCACTGTTAGTTCTTCTTGGTTTTCTCCGAATACAGAAAATAGGTGATAGGTGTTTTGAAGTGTCACACTGGACAGCCTAATTTATATAAAAAATAAACTATTGTATAACAATAGAATCAATGTAAACAGTTACTCCAATGGCTCCACATTCAGGTTCCATCCACGGACTATTTGATGACTTAGTTCACGGCCAACAAATATAAACCCTGGAGTTAGAACAATTAACTTCTCTTCAGTATTATGTATGTTATTACATGAACCATGTGTATAGAACACACAAAAGCTTCCAATTTTCTTTTTTAATTAATTAATTAGTGCGTGTGCGTGTGCGTGTGCGTGTGTGTGTGTGTGTGTGTGTGTGTGTGTGTGTGTGTGTGTAGGTCAGAGAACAAATGGAAATTGGTGCCCTCCTTTCACTGTGTAGGTCCCAGGATGGAACTCGGATCTCCAGACTTGGTGCCAGGTGCCTTTACTGAGCCATCTCGCCGTCCTCCAGTTCTTGATAATTAGACACCAAAAAAGGAAGCCATCGGCATTATTTATTTCAATATTTGACTCCTGAAACCCAGAACAGAAAGAGGGTGTATCATTTTATACGGAGAATGGAAAGTCAGGAGGCTTGCGAAACGTGATTCGGTTGCTTCCATGGAATATTGTCAGACCAATAGGAGCTGGTGAAGAACTTTTATGGACAGTATAAATAATTTGAGCCTTAGACATCATGACCAGTTGATATTTTCTTTCCTGAGGACCAGCTGTTCAAGAGCATCCCGGAACAGAGCCAGGCACAGTTGAGACTCGGCTGGGACTTGGCACCGCGGCGGATTCCTCTGCAGCGATGTCGGTGTTAGAAGAAAGCCGGCCATTTGCTCAACAGCTCTCCAATGTCTATTTTACCATACTCTCCCTTTTCTGTTTTAAACTTTTTGTGAAAATCAGCCTTGCCATCCTCAGTCATTTCTACATCGTGAAAGGCAACCGAAAGGAGGCCGCGAGGATAGCAGCTGAATTTTATGGAGTAACCCAAGGACAAGGTACGTTTCTGATAGCAAGCTCCTGTTTCAAGTTGAGTTGAACTATCATTTGATCTGCAATCCAAGAAAACATCACGGGTTCCCTTTATGGGACATTTTATAGACTTTAGTAGAAGGAAGTCCTTGTAACTTACTTCATTGGCTTCATGGAAAAGTTTTTTCAGTGTAAATGCTTGGGCAATATGGAAATAGAGCATTAAGTATAGATATCCTTGCCTAGTAGTAATCATTTAAAAACTTTATAGATATTTCATTTTCCACATCGTTGTTTCAGAGTGTAACGAAGAGATAACTGATTTTACTTCAACTGTCCTTTAACATTAAATTTAGCATTGTTAGTATTTTAAAGGAGGTATTGAGGTCATATATAAAAATGTTGAGTCAAGCCTGGCGGTGCAACTTGTAATCCCAGGAACTCAGGTGGCTGAGGCAGGAGGACTGTAAACTCAAGGCCTTCCTGGGCTTCAGTGAGTTCAAAAGCAGCCAAGGTAGTTTACTAAGACCCTGTCTCACAAGGAGGACTGAAGGGAAGGCTGGGGATAGTTCAGTAGGAAAGAACTCACCTAGAATGTGAAAGGCCGAAGGGTCAACCCTCAGCACTGGACAATGAATTGAAATAAAATGAAATAGTTGTTATTAAAAGTAGAGGATTTCAAAACTGGTTTTTATACAATTTATAGTTTTACTGTCAATTAAAACACAGAAATTAGTATTTGTGGCACATATTTTCCTAAAGGGGTTGATACTGCTTTGCTTGGATTATGGAAATTGTTTATTACATGATAGGATCATGAATAAGCAAATTTGATGTTTGTTCAGTCAGGCTGATCCATGCTTTTAAGAAGAAATTGAAATAGGAGATGAAGTGAAAAATGGTTCTACCACTCACAGATTTTAAATTTGATATGACCATTATATGCTAGTGAAGCAATATTCTAGATAGTAAAAATGATCCACATGTTCGTTGGGAAAGTGACATTTTAATATCTTGCAATCTTTCAATTTATTTCTGCTTTGGAATTAACCAAGCCAACAACACTGTGTACATACCCTGATAGCCCCCAGGCAATTTAAATATTCAGAATCAAAACTTAATATCATGTAATTAAAAAATACAACATTTTAAAGAAAGAGGCTTTTAAGTTTTTTGTGTTGAAACTGATTTTTCTATATATCTTAAATTTTCACATAATTCATGTAAAAATCTAGGCTACTGTTGATGTGTGGGAATGTTGAGTCTTTACAGGGGGACGCTTCAGTGGCTTGTGAAGAAGATACTGTTGTCCCCTAAGGAAGATTGCTTTTGTGTAAACTGAGGAACTCATCTACAAACTCAGTGAGGAAAATTTAAGTGCCCCAGGAAATCCTCATAGAGAAAATAAAACCCAGATGAAATAGGCCGCAACCCTGTATTTCTCAGCACTGAATTCTGAACTAGCATTTCAAAGTAGTGTCTTTACTTTGTGATCCATAGAAAATGGAAATGTCATTTTGGTGAATGGAGTATTTGAGTACTAAATGCAAACATAAAAATAGCTTTTAAAACCTGTCATATTTCTAGACGTGCATAAGCAAATAAATTATGAGATTATAAGGTGATAAAATGTAGCTTCGCAGAAAGCTTATAGCTCATTATTTAAGAGTAGAGTTTATCTCCATTTTCTGAGAACGAGTGAGTGTACATAAGGCAGTGAAATGTTGGCTAAAAAGAAGAACGACGTTTTGCCTTCACAAAGGTGCTAGAGGAGACCATGGAAACATTATTCTGTGCATCTTGGCATAAGAGAAGCAGCCATCCCCTTTTAGATCATAGTGTTCTCATGAAGACAGCTCCTGGGCATATATGAAATAACTCTGGTGTTTTATTGTCTTATTATAGTCCTTTAAAATATACTAGAGTTGTAGGATTTTTCCAGATAGTAAGATGGAAATCAACACTCATTAGTAGAAACACATTTCCTACAAATATAAAATACAGAGTTTTAAAAAGTTTTGCTGTGTTTTTAACATTCACTCTATAACAAAACTCCTTTTCAACACCATGTAGTATTCACTGTATATTTAATACCAGGGTATTTAATTGTAATTATTATTCAGGATAAGCATAATTGTGTCCAATATTATTTTAACATTAGGAAAATAAATCGAATGCCTTGAAAAAAAGTCTTATTCTCCTGTTAAGAGGAAATTAGTCTTTGCCCAGGAAATTATTATTTCTCTATTTTATATAGTTTTTTAAATTTTTTAAAATCATAATTATACTATTTCTGATTGGCTTGTGTCTAATGTTGACTGCTCGAGTTTAATTATTGTTGCTTAATCAAGCAATTTCCTCCTCCTTTGGTAAGATTATCACTGTCATCCCACTTTGAATAGGTTCCTCGTTCCTACTTTCAGGGCTTAGCCAGACTGCTCCCCTATATTTCTGGAGTGCAGTTGCCAACTGCACAAAGTAAGGCTGATATGTGTAGTTCATGTCTTTCATAATAGTGGAAACCTTATTGACAACATTCTCAATGTCTTCCCAAGAGCAATAGCACTTCCGTAGGAACTCAAAGAATCCCTTTGCTGACCTAATGGCTATTTCAAGGCAGCTCATTGTGTTAGGCAAGTGTAGACTGTTGTGTTGTTGTTACTGCCGTTGTTCTCAGTTGTTAAGCCCCGTTCAATCAAGCTCGAGATGAAGGTCAGATTACAAACCCGAAACTTGATGAGCTAAATGGTGGATAAACTAGCTTAAGACGTTTCCTTCTTGATCCCTGAAAACCTCCAGTAAACTTCATGATGCTGCCTTTTCATTTCTGAAGACTGAAGAAACTCATTCTCTGCTTAGCTTCTCCATTTTGATTGTCATTGCCGTAGTTGAACACTCCAGTTCAAGCCTCGATCTTTCATGGGATGACTTCAGTTATAAATTTGCACCGTACTGATTGACTGCGAGACTACTAAGAATTGGGATGTATTTTCATCTGTAATATTAAATGGTGAAGAAAAAGATAAATATTGAAGGGTATCTTAAGTTGATGAAATCATTCCAAAGCCCCAGAAAAAGACATTATTAAATACCAATAAATATCCCAAGACATGTCAAGCTCTCTCAAACATTAAGGGCAATGTTTGTCAAGTTCAATCTTAGGCTATAAGAATTACAACAATTTTACCTTCAAGCAGATGGAATCACTTCTAAACATTTGTTTCTTGAATCCTCTTGATAGCAAGATAATGAAGAAAGAAAATGTGTTGGTGTTTGGCATAAGTGCTTTTTACATGGAGTTCTGAACAAACAACCACTTCCAGATGAACTAATGGAAGTGAAGCTAAAGAACTGAAGTGCCCTTTTCACACTTGGACTGCCACAGAGGTATTTTCCCAGAGAAGGCAGATGTTTTCTTAATCTCAGGAATGAGCTGAGGCATGGATTTCAGAAGGCACAAGCGAGAAAATAGCACTCGATAAAGTGAAGATAGTGTGAATTAGAAAAATAAAAAATTAGACCCAGATATGAAAGAATTTGAATATGAGACAAATAATTACAAATTTTGAAGCTACTAGGAATCATGAGAGTTTGAGAATATATGAAGTTGAGAAGATAAAAAATAATGTAAATAAAAACAGTTTATTATAGGTTTGTATAGTAGTAATTGAAGTTGCACAGCAGGGCACATTTGCAATAAGTAGACCAGTTTGGACCTTGCCACAAGGATATTAGAGGCTACTTAAATTTGTACTTGTGTTTGTGTGTTTGTGTGTGTGTCTATGAAATTGTCACAGTGAAACACATTTTTTTTGTATGCCAAGTAAAAAATTAGTTTTAGAAATGATGGAGACTCTGACTAGTTTGATAGTGATTATATGACTGGAAAAGAAATAATAACAACAAAACCAAAAACAATATAAGAAGTAATCTGTGATGCCTTGGAAGAACATTGGCATAGAGAGCATTTATGACTTTAGGCTAAGTCATATATGGTATCTCAGAATTATATATCAGCATGTCAATCAGAGTGGGAATTGGCCAGCCACAACAGGCCAATACACATGTCATAAAGGGGGCCCTTAGCTGCCTTGTGAATCTGGTAGGCCACCTAACTTCACTATGAAATGTGAAGAGAAATCAGGACACAGCAAAGCTAGAATCTGGTTCTATTCATGTATTGTTTATTTAACATATGAACTCCCTTCTCTTATTTTAAAAATCACCAATTAGCTTTCTGATTGTGATTTGGGCCCTGCTGTAAGAATGGCCTGGCTTTCCCTTCAGAGTGTTTTAGACCATCTAAGATTTTTAACACTTATTTTGAGCTTTTGGGGTTGCAAATTCACCTTTGAGGCATTTGTTTGTTTCAAAATAGGTTAGATTTCTGATCCTTCCAGGCCATGAACATAATTTTTGACTGTGGGAAATACCTCAAAGTAATATGTCCCTCCCTGTGAGTCTGTGGGCTAACTTTTGAAATTATCTGGAGACACTGAAGCTCACAGGGAAGTGCTTTTGTGGTTGAGACTCTGAGCAATTTAAGATGCACGCAGACTTATGCATGTGATTTTGATTTCATACATTTCTGAACTTGAGTTTGGCACCATGGTTATCATCACACATGCATTTCTTGTCATATGGTTGAGACTTGAAAGTAGGATATAATATGCCACCTCCAGTCCAATGTCAAAACAAGTTGTCATTTTGAAGAATAGTACAACCAAGGTATAAAAAGAAGCTAGAGTTCTATGTAACTATGCATGGTTGTTTATTTCTTTTATGGTGCTGAGACTGAAGCCAAAATGTCATACAAGTTTGGCAAGTGCTGTACAACTAAGCTATACCCCTAAGCTACCTTATATCTTCTACTCTTTATCAGCAAAGCCTGTGCTGTGTTCATATGAGCATTAATAACTAAACTTTACAGTAGCTGTCAGCCATATCAGAAGTAATATGCACTCTGCCATTTTGGAAGAATAATGTTTTGTGTGCTACTGTTTATTTATGAGATCAGTTGTGGTGGGAATGCTTCTTATCTCAACAATGAATACTTTCAGGAGGCAAGTATGATGACTTCTTTAACGGCATTCATTACATAAATGCATAAAAACATCCTGAACACATTTTCTGAACCCAGATGAAATAGCTTTCCATAGGAATAACTGAAACCAACAGACCTGCTCTTAAATGACAGAAGACATTACACTCGAAAGATTCTGTTTCAGAAGGCCAGAACATCTTTTCTAGAAAAGGCTACTTTTAAATTAAATTAAAAAAAGAAGTTTGGGAACAAAGTTTCAAGTTTAGAAATGACTGCCAGATTTTAATGTATTTGTAATTTGTCCTGCTGTGTTTGGTGAGAAATGCATTAATTTTGGAATTTAAGAACCTAACAACACATGGTAGCTTTGATAATATAAGTTTTCCAGGAATATACTTCTTATGCATTTGTTCTCTTCTTCCTTTAGTAATTCTATCATTTTATCTTTTCTTCTTACAAAATGTTCCACACTGTTTATTTTCATTTGTCCAAAGTCAAAGGTACTGTATTAGGCATTAAGATAATATTTTTCAAAGCCCACAGTCTCCTTACTGTGTGTGGGGAGATAAATAACCAAATAATTAGAGATATTGTAAATGGTATTTTACAAAGCCAACCAATTGCTATGGGAGTATGGAATGTATAGACTTAGCCAGGAGTAGTCTTGCCTGGGACATGTCAGTTTCAAGCTGTACTAACAATATTCTTGTTCTCTTTCCCAATTTTAGACGTGTTTCCTTCATAATTTTTTTGAATTTTAAATTCTCCACTTTTGCTCCATCTGTCTTCATTTCTCAACTTGTCACTTCTGCGTCCTATATCTCACACATAAAGCTTTACTCAAAATTCATTTCACTGTTTAAAATGTTTATTTCTAGGAAAGGCACATGCTGGTATTCTCATACCTTTACTAGGCTTTTTGAAGAAATGGCATGGTCAGTCCATAAACTCATGAAATTTTCATGTCAATGCAAGCAGTAAAGAAATAAAAATGAATTCTTGTTTTTTGTATTACTGGTTCTTTTAGAAATTGGTAAAGTTCTTAAAATTAGCTATTTTTCTTATTTGTTGACATAGATGAGATAGTTCTCAGTCAACTCAGGCCAACAAATATTGGATACCACTTTATTTCTGGCACAGTGTTGTATGCTGCATGCTCACATTGCAATATATATAGTATATGCAGAATACATATGACATATATGCATATATACTTTCTAGACACACTGTATTAAATGGTATGTGTTTACATTTACAGAGTGTACGTGGTATAGTAAATGATTTACTTTTGAATAAAAGGAGACAATGTAATTAAGAGCCAAATGCTGCACATGTAAATAACCAAACAGCAAACAAGGAGGAATTCATAAAGTACTAAGATGAAAATTATCACACTTTGCAATAACTGCCATCTTAGAATTCAGTGAGGGAAAAATCTGAGGTCTACTCATAGAGATGGCATAGTTTAAGACAGAAAATATATGTTTATGAAGAAGTATAAATAAAACCAAGTTGCCTACGAAGAAAAAGATGGCAAATTTAAAATGAGAAACGTAAGAGGTTTATTTTTACTCAAGACTGCAGTATGAATCTTAGAGATAATGATACTTGGTTGAATAGATGATATACCTTTTCTCAAATCCTGTATCCAAACACTCACAGTTCTGTTTAGAGCTTCCTAATGTCTTTACTGGATTAAGCGTATGAAAGTGTCATTAGCTTATGTGAGAAATAGTTACCACCGTAAGTACTTTGTCAAATCCTTGTAATGATTCAGTGTGTTATGGTCTACGCTATATGAACTGAATATCAGAGAAGGTGGATGGCCTCCTTGTTATAGGCTTAGCAGAGAATGTCCTCATAGTTTCTCTAAGTCCTTGTTGTAATGATTCAGTATGCCATAGTATATATTGTATGATCTGCATGCTGGAGAAGGTGGCTGGCCTCCTTGCTGTGGGCTTAGCAGGGCATGTCCTCACAGTGTCTCATGGATGTTTTATGGATCCTGGCTAAGTTTTAGTATACTAAGCACATTTTCTTAACTGAAGAAATATTTTTCTCAGTGACTCCCTCTCCCCACAGATGTGATCCAAAAGTAATTATTTAGAATGCCTATTCCTCCAAATCCACACTAAAGTGGAGGGAAGAAAGGAGGAAGGAAAGAAAGAAGGAAGGAAGGAAGGAAGGAAGGAAGGAAGGAAGGAAGGAAGGAAGGAAAGAAGGAAGGAAGGAAGGAAAGGTGTGTGTGTGTGTGTGTGTGTGTGTGTGTGTGCTGAGGGGGACGTCTGGCATTTCTTCTTCACCAGCTCAATGGGAACAATTCTTCTTTCCAGCATTCCCTTATCAATGTTACAAAATAAACTATGGGCTTCTAGACTGGGAATGGTCAGCTGCTACATAGATATAGTGTCTGTGAGTAAGCAAGTCCGTGTTAAATTCAGAGACAAATTGAATGCTATATGATTTTATAATCACGCAAAACCCCACTAGTTTCTTTGAGAAAGGAGTTTGAATGTCATTTTATTATACTTAAGGGAGTTCTGGCAAAGGCTGAAAGGATAAGAAACTAGGATGGTGTGGGGAAGATAAGGTGTTTCATGACCTCCTTTTGCTCTTTAGCTGGAACAAATGGAACAAATCTATCTTCAGGAGTCTTCCTAAGCTGAACAGTAGACAAGGTTTGTTTTTTTTTTTTTTTTTTTTTTTTAAGAATAGGATAAGATAATAAGATAAACCATCCCAGTTAATAAGGTATTATTTAATAAGTGGTGTGCATGATTAAAGAACCTAACAACCGTATATGACCAATCACCAAGCAGCTGTTCAACGTTCTTTGCTGGGGGATCAGAAGAACAGTTAACATTTGGGGCCCTTCAGGAACGTGTATAACTGTGAAGTGGCATGAGGGCAGCTTTTCTCCAGCAGGGCAGCTAAAATATCCATGGCACCATTACCCACCGAGTAAAATAGAAACCTTCAGCAATCCACATACTCTTTCCAGAAGGCTTATAGTCTTAAACTCCGGGCAGAGAACAAACAAACTGAAATGTAACACCGGAATGCCACTCGTGTTCTGAAATAGAAGCACTGGCTCCTGGCAGCTGTCAAGTGTGCGGCTTGAGTCAGAGGAAAAATGACAATTAAACTGAGGTTCACTCACTGAACATCTACTGTTCTCCATCCTAACATCACAAGGTCCCTCATTAGAGTGAGCCAGTTGAGGCTGCCCGGGTGTGGGAGGAAACCATCCATCCATCTAAAATGATTTCGTTACAGTACCATAGTGCCTCAATCATGAGTGCAGAACCAAGAATGCCTCTGACCCAACTCAGTAACAACTTAACACATTCTTGACTGGCCACTGATGAGAATTGAAAGCACTGATGTTTTCTGAATTCTACCTCAGTGACTAGAAAAATAATAACTTCTACTACCCTTCAAGTGAAAGAGGAAAGGAATTTTTAGAATGACGTGGTATGGAAAATTTATGACTGAATTTAGAAGCTTTGTGTTGTCTCTTCTTTCCCTCTTGAACTTGACCCACAGTGGTAAATTTGGAAAGTGAAGCAGTGTTAGTTCCTTTTGAGTTTGAATACACAGAAGGTCATGAAAAGTGTCTTCATAGGGGCTCTCCTAGCATCCCAAATCAAGGAGTTGAATACAATCTTGATTCCTCTTTCCTTCTGTCATTCCCACTTCATACAATCATGATGAAATGGCTCATTGGATAAGTTTTATGGCTTTTTTCTAGTTAAAAAAGTCAACAAAACAGTGCCAATTTGGGTTACAACAATCTCCTGACTTTTAAGTCCTATAACAATATTTGTGTATCTAAATGATATGGTATTTCAAGACCATGGAAGATGGGAGCATCTCTCTAAGAAAGCTGAACAATTAGGATCTACTGAAATGAATTTTATTTTTAAAATTTCATTTATGTTGGTCAATTGCATTAAACAATGGAATTAATTATTTGAAGTTCAATCATATTATATTATTATGTTATAGAACCACAGAACTTAATTCTACAGAATTAATTCCATTTAAGTCTACAGAACTAAAATTGATATTTTTGTTTTTAAAATATTTTTAGAAGACAAAATATTCAGGTGAAAAAGAAGAGTATACTTAGCACATACCTACTTTATCTGAGACAAATCCAGCTCTTGCCAAGTATTTAAGTATAGACTAAATGAAAACAGTATGACAAGTAAAATGGATACTTCAAGGCTGTTGTTATTCTGAAGAAGGAAATCATAGCTTACTAGCCGAAACGTCACTTGATCTTTGAAATAGCTCTTCATGGCATATAGGAGAAGCAATGCTTTAGATATTGAAGAAAGTCAGCAAATATTTGTAGAATGAATAAAAGACTCTACTTAGAGAAAATGGGGATTAAAGTTACATTACATATTGCCAAGTAAATTACTCAGGCAGACACAGATCTATTATGGTTCTGGCTTGCTTCAGTTGTGTGATCCATGGAAAATAGCTTAATGTATGCAAGCCTCAGTTTCTTCATCAGTAAAATAAAAATAACAACCTTTACTCTAATGGATTAGTCTAAATCTTACATTCGAGATAAGTTGTGTAAAATTACCGAAACCACTTCCTACTATACATGACTTAGAGCTTGCACTGCATAAATGTTAGCTTTTTACATTACAGTGTTATTTTAAAATATCAAAATGGTATATAACTTATATAACTTGCTATAATTTAGTAGTGAAACTGCTGATAGGGTATCTAATCCTAAGTGGCTAGCCCTAAACATTTGAACATAATGACAACACTAATTGGATCCAGTTTGTGTGTGTGTGTGTGTGTGTGTGTGTGTGTGTGTGTGTGTGTGTGTAACAATAATTATTCTAGAAGAAGAGTTCACAAATTTGAGAGAGGATGGAGAGGACATGGAAGTAGTTAGAGGAGAAAGAATGAGGGTTAGAAATGATATAAATACAGCATAGTCATGAATGAAATTCCAAAAAATTAAAAATTAAAAAAAGAAAACACTTTGAAATTCTAATAACAAACTATGTTTGCTAAGAAGCATGTAATCATGCCAGATTGTATCTACTAAGCTTGCCTTGTATTCCAACTGTATTAATTCAACAGGTAATTTCAGAACTGAAGTGTTTGAGTTGATATGTCAGTTTTATACTAATCAATGGGGGCCCTGTAGTATTTAGTAAGTTATTATGTGTTCGTTAGACATCTAGAAGTGGAGCGATTTCAAGTCAGGTTCTGTTGGCTGCAAACTTTTGCTACTCCCAGCAGCTACTTCTACGCTAGTCCTTCACACTGACAAAAGAGAATGAATAGGGGAAAAAATCCAAGCTCAGATTCGTGATTCTCCGTCCCACCACCCTGCCTGCTCTCTCTACTGGCCTCCACCATGCAGAAGGATGAGTAGCAGAGAGTCCGAATTATTCAAAGAATCTACAAAACACAAAGCTGGCCAAAAACCCAAACAAGATAAGCAGTGAATTTTATACTGGAGATTCAGGATATCTTTGGTAATTTTGGATACTGTGATATCCTCCATGAAGGAAGATGAGCCGTCCTGAGCTATCACATAGAACTGGAGCAAAGCAGTGCAAAGTGACTAGCTAGTTGACTAGGAGCTAAGCAGAATTCTGTTCAGACAGCCTCACTCACAGATGGAAGTTTTAAACATTTTTGCAAGAATTTCTTCTATAATCTTACCATGTCAAAGGAATTTTCCTTCACAGAAATTCTTTGAACAAAAATGACTCACTTTTTAAAAATTTATTATCAGTCTTTTTTTTTTTTTTGGTTTTCCGAGACAGGGTTTCTCTGTGTAGCTTTGCGCCTTTCTTGGAACTCACTTGGTAGCCCAGGCTGGCCTCGAACTCACAGAGATCCGCCTGGCTCTGCCTCCCGAGTGCTGGGATTAAAGGCGTGCGCCACCACCGCCCGGCTATTATCAGTCTTTTTAAATCTTGTCAAACATTTGCTCCTGCTGGACTGAAGAGCATGTGTGTTGATTTACAAAAGCTGCATTCATCCAGCTCCCTGCCCAAACTGCAGGCAGCTCCACTGGAGATTTGCTTTTCTCTCCTGCAATTGTTTAGTAGGTTTATAAGGTTGGTCAGGGTCTGTTTGAATCATGTAACTTTTTTGAGACTATTAAGTTTCATGAGCTTCCTGAGCCTTGACAATTCAACTAGCTTTTGGAGTCTTAAGAGCCTCCCTTTCTTCGACAGGGATTGGTTGAGTTAGGAGGAAACAGCTCTTACGGTAAGGACTTCACATCTTTAGACTTTACCTGTGCTTTGGCCCTCATACACAGCTGGTTTATTCATCTGGAGGTTTCTGAAGGAATGCTTTATGTCTATTGTTGGGAATCCTTAGGATTCTCCTGTCGTCATCTTAATGACAGGGAAGGAGAGAACACCATTCTCCCCAGTGGGTTAGGCCTTCTTTTTGACAAAGACAGTGCTTGAACAACATTCACGGCTGATCTGCCAAAGTGGACAAGATGCCAACTTGGCGTTTAACGTTAGAATTGAGGTCCATATGATTTGTGGTTTTCTTTGTTTTCTGTTCTTAAGTGATTTTGCAAATACACTCAACTTTCATGTGGAAAAAGTCAACATAAAACATCTTAACAGCTGCCAGAAACCAAGCCTTGTATGAGCATGTGCTTAGTCATGGTAAAAAAAAAAAAAAATTGTGTGGCTAGAATTCTGTGGAGAAGGGTTATATGTAAAATACATTAAGTTCTTGTCTATGGTGCATATCATATTTGTTTCCCTAGCAGCTGTTGTATTCAGACTAGACAAGTTGCTAATTTTACTTCATCTACAGATTTGTGACCCTTCTAAGATTTCAAGCTGGCAACCTGTAGAGATAGATAGAAATGTATGTGAACAAAGTATAGCATGTAACAAAAGTGTTCCTTTGTGAGCTTAGTAAACACTTTGTTCGTACACAAGTGCTGGAGGCTATCCTAAAGCTGTCCCTTTAAGAACTTAGACAATGTTTCATGATATATGTGGTATTGGTGATTAAATATGGTTTCGTGTTCCTTATTTTGTATTCGCTGGTTCAGATATGTTAGCCTGTAGTGCCGGGTAGCAAAATAGTATGGTAGAAAGAGCTTAAGGTAACATCAGAAACCCTAGATTCACTGTTGCTTTGCTCTTAATCTTGGTGGTAACGTAGCCTAACACTTTACTTTTCTTAACATCAGTTTCATCAGCAAAATTCGTGAGACAGGATCAGTTGTGTTTGAATCCCACCCACTTACCCCCAACCTCATCGACCCTTTCTTTTGAAATGATCTGGAAGTTCACTTCAGAAGCTGATACCTTGGACGCTCCTCTGTGTGAAGACACTGTGCTGCACATCCCAGCACCCTCTGGCAGTTCTCTTAAGTGCCTAAGGCTTTCTGAAGGTGTTTTGTGAGCCTCTGGAGTAGACAGTACCTAAGTCTGCTTCTAGTTCTAAAATGTAATACGTTCTTCATATTTTGACTTGTAGTTAATTATTTCTGTACCACGAAAGCTTTCAGCATAGAGAGCCCCAGTTATCTCTTGACATGGTTGTGCTCATGACCTCGGCCAACCCATCATTTCTCTGAACTTCCAGAATGTACTCAACAGATCTGCAAATGGCAATTATTTTAGGGCTCTTCTTATGGACTTGCAAATGATAGATACTTCCATCATGTACTTCTTCTCAAGTATCTCCCGCGCTGAGTTGGAGCACATGGTGGGTCAAGTTATCTTATTTGCATTTGCTTCCATCACCTCCACCAAACACACTTAAATGGACTTAGAAAATGCTGCTAGATCATTTTTAGTGTCCTTTTTGTCCACAAAGATGAACACTTACTCCTTGGTGTACATGGGAGAACCACTGCTCTTACTAGTAGAGCAGGTATTGAGAAGATGTAGACAGTCAGGGAGAGCGACCCAACAATATTCAGCATGGAATAAAGGTCATCAGAAAGGACACTTTTGGCTTCTGCCTGTTAGAGCTGTATGCTTTCTGGTAACAACCTCCTCTATTTTAAAACCATTCCAGCTGTGGTTCTCTTCTTGGTGTTGTTTAGCTGCCACTTGGTGAGGTTTTGTGATGTGTTGCCTTCATTATGCTAGAACTACTCTCATTTGTGTGTGTGTGTGTGTGTGTGTGTGTGTGTGTGTGTGTGTGTGTGTGTGTGTGTGTGTGTGTGTGTGTTTTCTGTATTGAATTGGCCAGACCAGTTAGTATAAGTTTCGCTAGCAGCATAACAAAGCGGCCAGTTTTACCCTGTGGAGTTAGTGTAGGGCAGCAGGTATTGTGGCTGTTTGCAAATGCCACTAGTCAGTTCAGACATCCAGATCTACAGCTACCTATGCTCCACCTGATCTCCCCCTTTCAATCTGCTGGTGTCCCCAAGTCAGGCCTATAAACAGTTTTATGGAGGACACCAGCTCTCCTCTTGTCGCCTGTCATAGAGTAAGAGCATATTCAGGGACAGAGATGGTTGCAGGCTTTCCTTGTAGGTTCTGCTTCAGATTTGGCTTCCTCCACTTCACATACGCACTCAGAGTTATCGATTAGTGAGGTCGTCTGTGGTGACTCCAACCCCCACATCAGGTACAGTGATTTCTTAATCAGATTCTGCAAAGGTAGAATATATAATTTAGCATAACATATCCTTCATACTCAGAGAGATCAAGCTAACAGATCTTTACTCCATCCTCTAACTGTCACTACAAGAAAAGAAAATTTAGGATACTCTCATTCATGAATAATATATCCGGGAAATTTTTCAAGTATTCACTAATTAAATCTAGCGTGATGAATGAGCTTTCTATGGATTTTATTGTGAGCATTTTCTATTTTAAATAGCACCCTGCTTATGAATTGGGAAGAAAAATAATGTTTTGGTACATATCAACTTGCTTTTGTAAGAGAGCACAGACAGATTTGTGAAATTTTCCGAGTAAATTATTTTGAAGAAGACCTCAGCCATTCCCTTAATCAGTAGAGAACAGGTGGATGAGATGGTGGCCAGTGGGTAGGAACAACACTGTCAGTGACTATTCCAGTATTGCTTTCTTCCGTGCTGGTGATCAAAGCCAGACTCTCGTGTGTACTGAGCAAGAGCCTTCCAGGAGCTGCATTCTTGGGCTTTTTTGATAGCATCTCCACAGCTTGGCCTCAAGAGCAATGGAATTAGAAATAAATATGGAGATAATCAAGGGAAATTCAGGAGTGGTGTATTGACATAGTGAAGTAATGAACTGGATTATACACACTTTCACTCCAGTAAAAGCCTTGGGTTATGGACAACTGAGTTTATTAAGACATTTCCCATGTAATACGTGAGACTGCATTTGTAAACACTTACCTTCCATCAGTTCTCTATGGATCTCAGGTTCACCAGGGGAACTATTTAGATAACAGTATTCAGTTCAAACCACCAGTCCTGAAGTAGACATTGTCTAGGCCACATGGCTTAAACACCCAAGGCCTTCTAGCACCTGTGAAGTCGGGAGACTCTAGGCTTCAAATATGTTGCAGCTTCAGTTTGCTTCAAAATCCATCGCTGCTTCTGTACATTTACAAAATGAAAAGAAGTCATGACACAGTAACACAGAGCTGTCATCCCAGCCACAGAAGAATTTGAGGACAGCCTGGGCTGCACAAGACCCTATCTTAAAAGCAAAAATAACAAAACATAAATAACAGGATAACTCCTCATTCCTAGTTTTTAAGGTGTTTTTTTTTTTTTTTTCACATGAAAATGGCTGATCTTTTAAATACCACATTTTATACGAGAATGAAATGAGGACATGACCGCTCCGAGGTGTGGTTGAAGAGAAGGTTTTTATTGGAGATGGAGAGTGAGTCCAGCCAGAGGCATCTGGAAGAGTCCACAGCAGGGAGAAAAGGGGAAAAAAAAGTAGTTGACTGAGCCAGGCCACCGTGGTGGGGGTGAGAGGAAGAGAAGAGAGAACAGAGAGGGACAAGATGACCAAGGAGGCAAAAAGAACCAAGAGAGCGAGCACATGGCCTGGCCAAAGTGGCAAGGTTATATAAGAATGAGAAGGGAAGGGGGAAGGGAAGCTGGAGAAGTTTAGGGTAGGGAGTGAGATGAAAAGAGCTGAGAGGAGCCAAGGTGCCAGACTCTGTTACAGGCACTTGCTGAGAGCCCCTAGAGGCCCCTAGAGGCCAGCATGTGCTTTGGTATGCTAACAGGCCCACAGCCATTCATCCTGAGTTTCTTTTGGACCTAACAACACCCTGCTTATGTTTTTGAAATTGTACCCAAGTTGGTGAAGTTTAAAAGACTTACTTATGCAGCATGTCTTCTCAAAATGTTCTCCGCACACACTGATGACACAATGTCCTTTGTGCCTTGCTCTTGGGTGCCATTTTGCAGATATCCCAACCTTCTTTCCCGTAAGTGTGACTTTGAAGTTGCCTATGCCCCTTGCTACCCACTCTGCTCTACTTAAGAGGGGAAATATCATGGACCACAAGACTGTCAACTGGAGGTTTCACTGACTTTGGAACAAAGGCTAACTGTTAGATAACAATCACTCCGGACACTCCTGTCTGACTTGCCCTCAGACTTCGTCTACCCACACTTACAATTCCTGGGCCAACAGACTTAGCTATTCAAATGCATAGGTAGAATAGAATAAGAAGTAAAATGGAGCGAGAATGGGGCTCTGAAATGTCTCCTAGGAATTGTATGAACACCTGGCCTTATAAGGACGCTCTGGCATAGCCCCTGGGGAGTGAGTAATGCGGCTCTGTAAGGGGGAAAACTTGCCATTGGGAGGTAAGACATTCTTGGGTGCTTTTGTGATGCCATAAAGTGGAGATCCTGTCCAGTCCTCACTGGCTCATCAGTACTTTGGATTATTAAATAGACATCTGTTAAGGATGAGTCGTTACAGTTTAGAAAATGGGGTAAGGGCAAAGGGGTTGCTCAGAGGGAAAGGTGGTCGCTATGCAAGCCTGACAACCCCTGAAGAGGTACATGAGAGATGTGTGCATACAGACACACAACACACACCCCATTTAGACACAACAGTAGTAAATAGAGAATAAAAACCTTCCCAATAATAAAGGATTTAAAGGTTATATAAATTAAAGTATCCCTGTAGAAGCAAGTTTATAAATTGAGCTCCTCTATGGGAAATAAAAACTGTCAACCCATCTTTGTTTATATAATAGCATCACTGATTGTTCTTTGGTAGAATTCTGTGATTATAGAGAAAAGGTTAGAAGCAGACGCTAAAATATTTGTAGGTGAAACTATAAACTGAGATTCATCGCCAAATGATCCTAGTGGTGTTTGTAGAGTACACTAGAGATGACAAAAGACAAGCTGTGAGTTGATAATTGTTGAAGGTGGGTGGTGGTTATGGTGCTATTTGCTTAGTAAAACACTGGGGAAGGAGCCCATCCAGACTTCAGCAGGGCTTTGCTTGGTTACTCTTATGTTTTTCTGATAGTGGAAGGAAAATTGTTCTGGATCCAAGTCCCATCATTCAGAAATGTACTCTCAGAAATGCTGATCTTTGAATAATCATGCATTCACCCGGATACTATCTCTCAGAAACAATAATCTATGTGATTGCTTGTACCAACTTAAGAAAAAAGTTTAAATTTGTGCCTTGAATTTAGATTTTCTAAGTGGTCAGAAGGTAAGCCCTCTTTCTATTTTTTTTTTTTTTTAAGTTCGTTCTTGCCAAATCATGTCTTAGGTCATTATGTAGATTTCTGTCATAATTGTTCCCAGGTTTTAGCTTTCTGGCTTGCAGTGTTTAGAAGTAAGGATTGCTCTCCTCTAGAAGTACTTCCATGTCTTAAGTGACTTCTGGTGCCTTTTTCTGAAACATTGTGAGTTTCAACATCACTTTCTCACTGGAGATCAGCGACAACACCAAAGATACTTATGTGTTCAGACTACTGGGTCATCTCTAGTCCACAGTATATTTTAGTTACTTTTTTTTTTTGAAGATTTAGTAATTTAGAGTCCATAATCTTCTATGGGATATAATTTGTCTTAGTTTCTCTAGTGTTTTGTCTTATGCTGGTCCATCTACCTACTTATCATGACCTAATGATACCCAATAATATAGCCGACTTGTTTTTTTGCATTTACACTAGGAAAGATAATGGCTTCTTCTGTATAAGTAGAGATAACAGATATATAGATAACCAATATCTAAAGAGATCTACTTCAAATATTTAATTTACTGTATTTTATTTTAATGAAATAATAGAGCTAAGCACAGCATGTATAAAATAAGCATGAGCTATTCAATACTTTGTACTTTTCTTATTGAAAGATCTATAACATGTCCATTAATCCATTAAGTCGCTTTTAAAAATCTTTTCCTTCTGAATAATTTACAATGTTAAAATGGAAAAAGTTTGCCTCAGTCTATCTGCAAGCCAGTACGTTACTCCACTAAGTATATAGGTATGGTCAAATTCATTGTTTTCTTTTATAGTAGGTAGGTAGGTAGATAGATAGATAGATAGATAGATAGATAGATAGATAAATTAAAATAGTATTGTATCACCCCCATTCCTTTCTCCAGCCCTCTCACTTAGCCTCCCTCAAACTCATCCCATAACCTCCCTGAAGTTAATGAACTTTTGTTTGACTATTACTGTCACACACATGCATGCATATATGTGTATAAGTATGCATGTGTATGCACAAATATTATATAACCTGCTTGAGCCTGATTTTGTTGATAATGTGTATATATTTTCAAAGCTGGCCTTCTGTATTGAACAACCAAAAAGGGTTCTCCTTCTTGTTAGAGGCTAATTCTCCTTCTCCCAGAAGTCACTAGTTGTCTCTAGTTCTTTGTCTAGGAGTGAGACCCACGACATTTCCCCCCTTCCACATTAACATGTCCATTGATATTGCCATTCTTGTGGTCTTGCTAACGCAGCCATTTATAGGAGAGATGGATTCACAGAAGACTTCCTCGTATTTTAGTTCTTACAATCTCTTCCTCTAGTTCCTCCTCCTCTTCCCCAATGTTTTCTGAGCCACAGATGCAGGAGCTGTGATATAGTTATATCCATTGAGGCCTGCCTGGCTCCCCATGATCTGTTGATCTCTCCATTGTGTCCTGTTATATTTTTCTGTGGTGGTCTCCATTAGCTGCAAAGACAGGCTTCTTTTATGAGTAGTAGCAGCTACACTTACCTATGGGCATACTAATTTTTAAAAAGTGGTAAGGAATTATGCTGGTCTAGCAAAGTGGTAGTAGTAGGTTATTTTTCCCCCTCACTGCACTGGAAATTTTTCTAAGCTCAGAGGCTTAGAAAAACTTCTGAGGTGTTCTTAGTTTTCGTATTTGAGATACTCTTTAAAATGGTATGCCATTTAAAAGATGGGCCTGGGAAATAACACAGTGACTTAGGCCTTGCAGTTGTACTACACAACTTAGGTAGAGAGTCAGGCACAAAGACAGTTTAGTATAATACATCATATCTAACACTGTTTTAAGAACAAAACTGTTGCAGTATTTGAAGCTTCCTGTATTTATTTTTACATTAACAGCATGAAGCTGAACCATCCTAAGTTCAATACTCAATTTTCTTTTAATTGACTTAATTGCTTTTTAAACAAAATATTATGTAAAGAATTCATACTCTCCTTGCGAGTATAAACTATGCCACAGGGAGCCAATGGTTCATTATCATTGGCTCAAGTGAATGCCAAAGACTGAACAGACCCCTTTCATCTGGGGAATGAGCCACCCATACAAATTGCCTAAGCTGAGCTGTCTCTGAGCTTAAGTTTTATTGGGAATACTTAGGGCCCTCAGTGGTAATATACTGTGCCTGAAACTCATGTACTAGCTTTTCTTTTGTGTGTGACTCATAAAGATTGAGTCAAAGAATCTTAGAGATAGAGTATGATGATACCCACACAGCCTGTGTTATGGAAAATGAGGTATAGTTAGGTGACTTTTCCACGTTATCCAAATAGTAAACTCAGAACTGGAGATAGGACAAAGGTATTTTTGGTATCTTTCAGTGATTTATTTGATGTAAACACCAGCACTGTAATGCGGCAGCAGATGTCAACAGGTAAAGCATGGAAAATCATTTTATTAAATGATATTTTTTCTCCTGTTTGACTTATTACAGGGGAACAGAGCTCTGATTATTTCATGTCCTCTATGGGTCAATAGCAGCTAGAGCCTTAATGATGGTAATAAAAACTAGAGGCAGATAACGGGCTCCATCACCATTTTTCCTCTGGGCAGATCTCAATATGTTAATACCCTGTAACATGATGAGCAGCTCAGTTAATCCTTGGAGTCCCATCACAGTTTAGCTGCTCTTCTTCCCTCCATCATGGCCTGTGAGCTCTGTTTAATTCTACATGCCAGAAAAAAAAAAAATAACAGGCACATGTTTAGTGTTTCCTCTCTTCTCTCCAGCTGCTCCTTCCTTTACCTTTTAGGGTGAAAAATCTCAGCTGTACTGAAATCGCCTGCTGACGTCTTTTGCTTTAGAAATGACCTCTGAAAAATCGCAATAGTGAGCTGTGCCTATGTAAAT